AGTTCGATTCCCGCTCACGGGCAACGCCCAGTGACGATTATCTGAACCGGATCCTCCCCTAGGTCGACTCAGCCTCAAATGAGTACCCGGTGCGGTGTGTAAACATCGCCACCCGGGGAGACAAAGGCGGCCGGGCGTGGTGCTGACCGACCCACCCCCTCGTGTGCCGTGCGGGCCTACGTCGGCGCTACTCGCTAACGACAGCACTTGCCCCGGCAGTCTGTTACAGGCTACACGGGGGGGCTTTGTCTTTGGTGGGGAGAGGGTACGGACCAACAGTGAACCTTAGCCGCGGCGTCCTCTGCTCCACCCATCCGAGTGCTCGCCAGGCTCCAAAAAAGAAATCCACCTGCTGAGCTTCCCCGAGGTCCTGGCGAATGCCGCGAGCTCTTCCCGTCGGGCGCCGCGTCACGTGGGCGGTTCAAGTTGCCTCGTGGGAGGCGAGCCGCAACCAACACAACAAGGCAACAAGTCAACAGTGCAAGAGCCGCGGGCAGCCGCGGGTTGCCGACTCCTGCCCACGGTTAACTGGACTCGCATGGTAAACTGGACTGCCATGGTTAACTGGACTGCCATGGTAAACTGGACTGCCATTGTAGACTGGACTCGCATGGTAAACTGGACTCGCATGTTAAACTGGACTCCCATGGTAAACTGGACTTCCACGGTAAACTGGACTCGCATGGTAAACTGGACTGCCATTGTAGACTGGACTCCCATGGTAAACTGGACTCCCATGCTCAGGGGCCGCCAACCAAACCAGTGTTCTTAATCGAGCCGCATGCGGCTCCAGAGCCTCAGGCTGCCGACTCCCCCCCCCCCCCGCCTGAAGAGGAGCTCCCTCCCCCGTCACGTGGGGTGGGGAGTGGGGATCGAAAGCGTCCGAGCAGTCGTCAGGTCGCACCCACGCGGCCTCCCTGAGCCCGCGGGACACTCCCGCGCCTCTGTGGGACCGGACGAACAGGTTCAACACCGGGAGAGGCGGTGGCGAATTCGTGTGGTGAGGTGGGGGGGGCCGCAATGCGCGCCCGTGTGGCTATTTCAGACCGGGGACTGCTCTGCCGTGGGGTCAATCCGCTCCGCTGGGGGGGGGGGGGGGTTTGTCGTGTGGTTATTGACCACGTTGCTGACTGACTTGAGACGGCTGGCCGATGCACCACCCGTTTTATACGCCCGGCGCTCCGCTCGTTGTTGTGAGCGTCGCTCCTCTGCCCCTCCGTCGGTGCTGGAGGGCGACTGCCTCCTAACTACCCAGCAGCAGCAGCGTCCTTCACGAGCCTCCTCCTCCACAGACGCCGATCTTGACACCGCTGGTATCAAGTCGTCGGCGAGACCACAACTCGCTCACGCGCACGACACGGTCACACACTCGAAATTAAAGCCACGATAGAGGACGCTGGATAGATAGATAGGAACTCCATCGGCCCTCAGTTCGACTCCCGGCCACGGCGAGCATCAGTGGCTTTCGCCTGGTGAGTTTCTTGGAAGATGCCGACTCGTGACTCCGTGTATGGGTTAGTGAGTTGGGGGGGGTGGAGATTTACACGGCTTCGGGCCACGCACTGCATTGAGCACCTATTGAGGTGCGGCCGGGGCGGTCAGTACCACCCACGCCTCAGGCATTTGCATGGGGGGGTTTTGTCGTCGTCGTTGAACTATAAGTTACACATTCGCGGAAGTGCAGGCTACAAGCTCGACACCCGGGCATTTCGACGGCGGATTTACCCGACTGGATCAAAGAGAACAACTGCCGGGATCCCCGTTGTCCCGTTTAAAGGGAGGCTTGAGCCTGCACGGGTCTGTCTCGTTTTGTGCCGCGAGATGTCCGTGGCGTTCCGCGCGCTGTTCTACGACCAAAAGCGGACGCGGAATGTGAGCGGACACTCGGGGAGCGTGGGCGTGTCTTTGCCCGGATCTGGTGTTGTGACGTCAAAGTGGGGGGGGGAGGGGGGCGTGTCAACTCGTAGCCGCCATCTTGAAAATGTCCCGCTTTTATTTCAGATTTAACATTCCGTACACGGAGCTAAAGGAGTTTTTAATGAGATTTTTTTTTACAGTCAGTCTATTACGACACTAGACGAGACTGCTATGTTGATTCGCCATTTCAAAAACGTGTGATATGCCTATAAAGAAGATTTTTTACAGTTTTCTATTAAGCTGCGTCTGAGTGTCCGCTTTTATTTCAGATTAAAACTCGCCGATAGCGCCTTGGGTCGTCCCCCCCCCCCCCCCACCGTGGTAACGAGAACTTCCGCAACAAAGACAAAGATCCGCCATGTAGTCTCGACGGACAGTTGAGTAAAGTGCTGTTAGCAAGCACCTCATGGAAGGCAGGAACGGCCGCACAAAGAAGGGGTGAACACCACGCTAGGAACCCGCCTTTCTGTCCCCCCCCGTCCCCCCCAACATCGCTAATGTTGACACATCGCCCGACATGTTCCACGAAGGCCGAGTCGACCTAGAGGAGGCACACGATTGATACTGCTTTCACGCACCGCCGATTGTTGGCCGTGGCCGTGAGTCAAACCTAGGTGTGGTGGGCCGAGGTTCGTTCGTAAGCGCATGGGGCGAACAACTGCGCGATCCGCTTCCAACAAACACCAATCATCATCGCACCCATCCGGGGTGGATAAAAAACTAACATCACTGCGTTGAATTCCACAGCGCTTAAGCCGCGTTTTCCGAACTAGTTTCCCGTCATGATAATGTGGAATTTCCACCACTCCGCAGCTCCGGATGCGCGCGCCGCCACGTGGTGGTATCCGCGTGGGGCCGCGGGACATTGCGGCAGTGTGGTGGGGGCTGGTGCATTGGAGGGGGGCCCTTAAAATACACCCCCCCCTCCCCCCCCCATCTGCCACCCACTTCAATTCATAAGATCGGAGTGAGATAACAGAAGAGATACACACGGTAAGAGAGAGATGTCGTGAGATGATTGTGGACACGAGACAGCTGTTTGTGAGATGAGAGGTGAAGCCAGGAGACACGGGGGGAGGTCGGTGAAAGATGTTGCTGAGACAGAGATGTTGACAGGGAGGCGAGACGAGGTGTAGAGGATGAGATAGACGAGGGAGATTCGCCGTCTCGCTCGTTGTTTATTCGTCTGAATTCGAGCTGATATATTTGACGTTTCGGGCAATGGCCCTTCATTGCGTTTCACAGAAGGGCCATTGCCTAAAACGTCATTTGTTTTTTCAGGGCACAGTGTTACTGACGAATGTGTTGGGTGTCTGTGTTGTGATTGTGCACACTGCCAACGCAGCAGCAGCAAATTAAACAAAAACTAAACTTGTTTTTATTTGACCAGGGAAAGCCCCACTGAGCCACGTGGCTTTTTTTCAGAAGCGACCTGGCCACAAATGAGAGCTCGACGAAGTGGCTGGCTGATCATCACCGCGTGGCAAAAGTACAGTAGCAGCAGCCAACTACTCAATGCATTATTCTGAATGTGGAGGGAAAACACAGCGTGGACCCGGAGAATAATCCACGCGACCACAGGGACAGAGAGACGCAAACTCCAAATATACAGCAGCAGGCGTCAGGGCCAGGATTGATCCCACGACCTCCTGCGTATCAGGCGAGGTAGTTAATATCTCCTAGCCACCGTGATGAGGATGATGATGAGAGAGACACGCAAACTCCAAATTTACAGCAGCAGCGGTCAGGGTCAGGATTGAACCCACGACCTCCTGCATACCATGCGAGGGAGTTAACATCTCAGCCACTGTGGCGCTATGTATTTTTACTCTCCATAAATCCGGGGTCCCCTTGAGCCCTCGCTTTTATTTGTGCCCAGCCAACGCCGCCGACGATCGGTCGCGACCCGAGCCGGGTGGCTCTCCTGCTGATGGGGGGGGGGGGGGGGCGGCAGTGGGGGAGGGGGCTGGGCTCTAGAACCTCCTCCCCCACCACCCGGCCGCCGCACCCCGTGGCGCGCGTTATCTGTGAGATTGGCAGCCAAGGGTGATGTTGTGCCAACAGCTGGAGACACCACAAACAGCACAGACTCGCTCGACAATCTCTGAGCACTCGCTTACCAGACACGCACCAATACTCACCAAACGCTCACCAATCTCCGATCACTTTCGCTTACCAGACACTGACCAATACTCACCAAACGCTCACCTATCTCCGATCACTTTCCCTTACCAGACACACAATACTCACCAAACGCTCACCAATCTCCGATCACTTTCGCTTACCAGACACTGACCACTCTTCACGGGACTCTTCACTCCCCAGAGACATCTCCCAATCACTCCCCACACCACAGTCCAAATCTCACTCTCCATTCTCCTCCACCATTACATATTCATCTTCTTCATATTCTTTTAAGCACAGTTGCCAGGCACAGGCCCGAAAACCCAAAAAGTCAAGCGGACAGCAACAAACAGCACTGTCAAAGTTGTAACAGACAAGTGTAACACGTGGTGTGAGACAAAGCAATTGCCATACAACACGTGGTGTGAGACAAAGCAATTGCCATAGGCTGGAGGTGAACCTTAGTCAAGGGGGTTCAGGGGTCAACGGCGTAGAGGCCGGCCGGCAGCTGACCGGGCGAACCGGTGAGGCTGGCAAGCGGTGCTGCGCTACTGCGGAGGAGGAAGTGACAAACCGCTCACGCCCGTGGCACCGATGTGGGTTTTTATTTTTTTGTTTTCACCGGATCGGCGATCGCGGCCTCCACGCAGCCACACGCGTTTCACGCCAACACGGCCTCGAGCCCTCGGCCCCACATCCGGCATTCGCACCCCCCCCACCCTAACCTCCCCCCCCACCCTAACCTCCCCCCCCCCTCGTCCTCCTGCCATGACCCCCACGCTGCCCAGCGCGGGTCGCACGGAGGGCGAGTGAGCGACGCCATCGGCTCTTCCCGCGCGTGCCGTTTGTCCACCACGACGTCCGACGCCACGCGTGCCGGCGAATCTCTTCAATTCCTTCAGTTGTCGAAGAAGCTCCACCCCACCACCCCCCCCCCCCCCTCCCACGCGGTGCGTGGACCGAAACGTCGAGCGAGAGTTGCGCGGCAGCGCCGGCGGCACGGCCGCGAAAACGCGCGGAGCGGCGTGGCCGCGATCGGCAGGATCCGAGCCGGACCTCGCGCGGTCAGTGCGGGGGTCGCGCTCCCCCCGACCAACACGATTTGTTCAGGAGGGTTTGGCCCGGGCGAGAGAGGGGCCACCACAGTTAAACTAACAGACAACACGCAGCCCTCTGCCAACTGTTCCACCACCGACTGAGCGTCTGCTATCTGTGGGGAGTTTGGGGGGGGGGGGGGGGGGGCTTCCTGGCACTCGTGAGGAGGGTAAACAGGACACGATTAAAAACGGGGAACAGGATTCAAAACTCGGTGCAGCGCGACGCACGGGGTTTGTGGGAGGGGGGTTACGCATCTACGACGCCGGCAGCCGGACAGGTGACCACGGTGCAACACTCACGCGCGCACGCACACCTACACACGGACGCGCCTACACACGAGCACACACACACGCGCACGCTTTGTTTCGCTACCATTTGCGTTTTCGTTACAGCACTAGCAGCGTCTCCTGCGGCGAGGCGAACGCGGCCAGCGAGACGCGGAACGACGACCAGCGCAGAGAGGACAACCGTGGCGGCGGCGGCGGCGGCGGCGACGGGGGAGACGGGCTGAGCGCCAATATGGGGAGCAAACTAGCCATTCACTAGCCCTGCTCCTACGACTACCACTAGCCAATCACTCGCCTTGCTCCGACAACTACCACAAATCACTCGCCCTGCTCCTGTCAATAGCCAATCGCTAGCCCTGCTCCCATCACTAGCCAATCACAAGCCCTGCTCCCATCACTAGCCAATCATTCGCCATACTCCTATCACTAGGCAAACATTAGCCCTACTCCTATCACTAGCCAATCATTAGCCCTACTCCTATAACTAGCCAATCACAAGCCCTGCTCCTGTCACTAGCCAATCGCTAGCCGTACTCTCAACCACTAACCAATCAGACAGTTACCTCTACTCCTACACCTACCACGAACCACAGCAGCCAATCAGAAGATTGCCCTACCACTTACACCATGAGCCAATGAAACAACTAGCACTACCACCCCCACCCCAACACTAACGTCACATTACCCAACGAGACCTCGAGCGTCGACCCCCTTCACCTCCGTCGCCTTCACCGCCCCCGCTCCCGCCGGCACGTCGTGCCCAAGCGCGGCCTTCCTTGCGCCCACCCAAGACCCCCGCCAATGGCCCTCCCGCACGAGCCAAATTCTCTCTATTTACAGTGCATCGACAGCGCCTGGCGCGACGATCCGCGGCGCCAACATAAAAATATTGAGAGAGGGGAGCGGGCGGGAGTGAAATAATAACGTGGATTTAGGGGCGGGGGGGGGGGGGGCAGGGGTCATAGGGAAGCAGTGGTGGGGGAGAGGGGGGGGTCGCTAGTCTGTCTTCTTGTCTTCGGGGGTCTTGGCAGATGCGGCGTCGCCCCCCCCACCGGCGGGGTCGGGCGGGGCGGCCAGGGCGGGGGTGGAGGAGGATGGGGCGCCGTCGCCCGCCCCCGCCACCACGGGGTTCCCCCGCTCGTCCAACCCGCTGGTGCCAAACTCGTTGGTGCGCAAGGGGTCGACACGGTAGATCCAGCGCTGGTACAGGTAGATGAAGAACACCACGTCTGCGGGCACGGGGGCGGGGGGGACCACGGGGACCACGGGGGAACGGTCACGGCAACGCTTCCTTTCCTGCCCCGAGCCAGCCCGGCGTGGCTCAGGGCAGCTCGGCTCGCGAGTTGTGCGACCCCCCACGCAACTGCTAAGCACGGCCCCAAAGGGCCAAAACAAACAACACCCAGTGTCAAAGTTCCAGATAGCAGTGTAGCACAATTTTAGCAAGGTTGTATTGTTGTTTCAAAATAACAATAGGCGTTTACTCTTTCGGCCAATAAAACAGGAGTTGGGTTAAGATGTTCAAACGCCAAATAGATATTTTTGCAATATCTATTTGGCATACTGTGTGTGGTTAACGCAGACTTCATTCCTTGCAAAAGATATCTAATTGGTCAGTTTAACACGGAGTCTTTCGCGACCAATATAATCCGTAATACAGGTTTTTTTTGGGGTTAGATCGCGTAAATATATGAATGGGTCATTAAACCTGTTTACGTGACAAACCTTACTAAATGGCTATGTTGGGTGGTGGCGGGATTAACGACACATTTATATACTTACGCGATGAAACCCAAAAACTGTATTATGTTATATATTTGGTGTTTGAACATCTTAATACAACTCCTATTTTATTGCCAGAAATGGGTAAAACCTATTCTTATTTTTCAAACTTTTGATACTGGCAAAAAACGTCCCATGACAGTATCCTTGCTGTTAAGAGTGGCCGTGGGTGCGTGCCCTGGGAACTCACCATCGCGCAGGCAACCTATTCTGTACATCATGGGCATCTTGATGACAAAGGCGAAGAGGTCGTCGATGAAGGTGTTGAGCGCCTTGTAGGTGAGCATGCGCCACGGCAGGTGAGCCACCGACTTGAGCTTGTAGTTGATGAACAGCTGCGGGGTCATCGTGATGAACCCTGGGGGGAGACGGGGCGGGGGGGGTTGGTATGGAGGTGCGGCACCGAGGGGGTCCCGGGGACAGCGGGCCGGGCGAGACGGGATGGGGGGCAGGAGGAGAGCGCGAGCGTGCCGAGTAAATCCCGGGTCGGTGGCGCTGTGCTACTTAATAAAAAAAAGCGGACTGCGACGGAATCGCCGGCCTTGCTGATATTAGCCAATCGAATGAAGGGGCGTGTGTCACATCATTACACGATCCATTAATCGCCGACATTGCTGATAATAGCCAATCACATGAAGGGGGGCGTGTCACATCAAGACTCGATCTACGGTTCGATTGGCAAATCGACAATAGCGGTGAACCTGCAAAAATATTATCAACCCGGTATTTCTGATGTTAGTTTATTATGGATCGACTGAGCGGGAATCGATACAATTAATCTCGATTAACGATCAACGGTGACCATACACGAGCAAAGACATGCCCCAAGCCACAGCCATTTTCTTCCATAATGGGGGGCAAATCTCTGATCGGTTACTTTGGTCGGGTGTACGATTTTATATTGCTCTATTACAGCGCCGTAGGCTCCACCGGGAGGGAGCCGACAAGAGACGGTGTTCCGCTGTACAGCGTCGAGACCTCGCTTACACACTACAATGCGTCTTCGCTAAAAGGCGGCTCCCCCTATCAAGGGGATCGCTTTTCGCGCAAAGCGGTATCTGAGCGGTCGACAACGAACTACTTTCTTGAGCTGCGTGGGATGAGCGGTGCGGTGATACGGTACACGGAAAGATTCGGTACGCGGCGGCCTACCCCTCATCTCAGCCTCTTTGTCCCGCCGTGGGTTGACCACAAGCTTGTTTTAGAGCGCAAATGCGATAAAAAATTTACCACAGTAAACAAAGTGACAAGCATCGCTCAGCTAAGGATTCATTCAGAACCCTCACAAAGTGGCCCGCAAGAGCGGATATCACGGAAACACTTCCGAGATCGCGTAAACTTAACGTTAGTCTCACGAGAGCTGGAATGTGGACAGGTTAAGTACCGTACTGAATTTAACACATTGTACGGTTATTGGTGACGGGGCTCGGAACATCAACTCGCTGTACTTGAGAACCCGGTTTAATCACAGGCGGCAGAAACCTGGATACAAACCCAGGGTCTCGGCGGTGCCGGTTCATCACAAAGTCACGGAGACCACCTGGGTGTAAGTGTCCGCACGCACGCACGCACCGAAGGTGAGCAGGAATCCGTAGAGCATGCTGAGCACCCAGGAGTACCAGCTCTTGTGCTCCTGGTACACGAGGCTGTAGACCGCGTAGCAGCCAAGCAGCGGGAACAGCGCCCACGACAGGTAGCGGAACGCCATCTGCACGCGCACACGCGCACGGAAATACGGCGATGAAATCGGCGCGTGCACGCGTGCGTACGCACGTCGGTTGGAACTTCTATCGCCCCGTACGTAGCCAGCCATGCGAATCGGGGGTGCAGGAACCAGGTGGATCGCTGCATCTCGGGATCGTCCGTGACCACGGCTCGGACAGGGAAGGGAGGCCTTCACGCGGCAGCGGACAGATCATGGCCAGACGACGCCGACGACGACCAAGCAGCAGATATGGGACCTTTTTTGGCAGTATCAAAGTATAAAAAATAAGGAGAGGTTTTCCACCCTTTCTGGAAATAAAACAGGTGGTAAAGTGTTCAAACAGCACAAGCACCGTGTGTGGTTAATGCAAACGGTTTCTATTGGTGTTTGAACCTCTTAACACCTGCCGTTTTATTTCCAGAAAGGGTAAAACCTGCTTCTGATTTTTTTCAGGACCGAGCAGTAGCGGGGACGCTCGCCGGCACTCACGTCGTCGTAGTCCCTTGGTGGACGACTGCATGTAGGTGGACTTGTTCTCAAAAGCGTACACGCGGGATGATACCCAGCAGCTTGTTCTCGCGGTCCACCTGCGGGTCGAGACGCACGGTCCCCGGCGGGGTTAGCCTCCTCCGTCCGTCACGCTGGCGGGCGCCGGCCCGGCCAGCGGAGGGGGGCGGGTGGGTGGGAGGTGGGCGTTGTGGGGGGGGGGGGCGAAATCTCACCTTGATGTTCATGACCTTGGTGACCTTCCAGAGGTCGATGAGGAGCCCCACGAAGACGCTGATCTGCACCACGAAGTTGGTCTCGTTATCCAGGATGTACAGCAGCACGACGGCCGACTGGAACACGCCGAAGATCACCGAGCGCACAGATAGGCCCTCCAGGGACTGCCGGCTGTTCCAGAACTGGATGTCTGTTGTTAGCACGTGAAGTGAGTGTCGCACGCACGCACAGACACACACACACTCCGATCACTCTCGCAGCAGCAGCAGCGGCGGCGGCGGCAGCTTCTGGCTGGCTGTCGAACAAAGACGTCACCGCGTCGGCGTGCTTTCAGATGCACCTCTGCGGCCGTCTGCAATGCGCTTCCTTCCGATGTTAGGAAGCCACTGTGGAGCTATGCACTTATAAATCATCATCTAGATTGCAAACGTATTTCTTCAGAACTTCTTTTTGTGTTGAGTTTGTGGTTGTTCCCCCACACCTACGATTATCACGGTTGGCTACGTATGGTGCGAAAGAAGTTCAACATACATATATACATCAAACTTTAGGGGGCAAGTGCTGTTAGCGAGCACCTATGAAGGCCAGAACTTCAAACCAAGAGGGCTGGTAACCAGCACCACTCTCGACCGCCTTTGTCTCCCCGGTAATGCCGAGCCGGCATGTTATGAGAGGGGAGGCGCGAGGAGAGAGAAGACAGAGGAGAGATAGGGAGAGGAGAGAGAGGCGAGAAGACAGAGAGGATGGAGAGATCAGAGAGACTAGAGCTCTAAGAAAGAGGGAGAGATGGGAGACATAAGAGAGAGAGGGAGGAGGGAGAGACAAGAGATGGAAAAGGGAGAGATGGGAGACATAAGAGAGAGAGGCAGGGAGAGACAAGAGATGGAAGAGGGAGAGATAGGCGACATAAGAGAGAGAGAGGGAGGAGGGAGAGACAAGAGATGGAAGAGGGAGAGATGAGAGACATAAGAGAGAGAGGGAGGAGGGAGAGACAAGAGATGGAAGAGGGAGAGATGGGAGACATAAGAGAGAGAGGGAGGAGGGAGAGACAAGAGATGGAATGAGGGAGAGATGAGAGACATAAGAGAGAGAGGGAGGAGGGAGAGACAAGAGATGGAAGAGGGAGAGATGGGAGACATGAGAGAGAGGGAGGAGGGAGAGACAAGAGATGGAAGAGGGAGAGATGGGAGACATAAGCGAGAGAGCTGCACCGTTCTTGAAGGCGAGGAACTCGAAGATGCTGTGCACGATGGAGACGACGATGGTGATGCCCAGGAGGTAGGGGTTTGTCTCCAGCAGCGCCACCTGTAGCCACGGCAAAGCAACGCGTGGGGTACAGCAGCAGCAGCAACCACAACAACAACAAAAACAGCGACTGCATCAACAACCACAGTGACCGCATCAACAACCACAGCGGCAGCAGCAACAACCACAGAACCAGCAGCAACGACCACAGCAGCAGCAACGACCACCACCACAGCAACAAAAATAGCAGCAACAACAGCAGCACAGACAGCAACCACATCAACAACAATAACATCGGCAACAACCACAGCAACAAAAATAGGAGCAACAACAATACCAGCAACATTAACAACCGCAACAACAACCACAGTAGCAGCAACAACCACAGCAGCAGCAGCAGCATGTGAAGACCTCGAGGCTATGCCACCACAAGCGACTGTCACTTCCTTCCTGCTGGCAGATCCCTGGGCTCCCGCACAGCTGAAACCCAGCCCAGATTTGCTTTCAGCGTTTCATCAGCAGCGCCGCTTTTCTTTAGGTCATCCCCCCTCGTTACACAATCGATGATGCAGAGTGGTGGCGAGGATGGCAGCGAGTGATTACCATGGTTATTATGGCAACGGTGATGATGATGGTGATGATGAGAGTGGGTGGAGATGATTATAAAGGTGATGAGAATGGGTAGTGATGATAGCAGGCATGATGATGGTGATGGCAGTGAATAAGATGTCGATAACAGGGAGTGGTGGTGATGAAAATGACGAGAGTGGGTGGAGATGATCGTGATGATGACGATGATGACAGCGGGTGGTTACGACGATGATGATGATGATAGTGATGATGAGAGTGGGTGGAGAAGATGGTCATGGTGAAGGTGATGAGAGCGGGTAGTGATGATGGCAATGATGACAGTGAACGGTGACGATGATGATGATTATGATGATTAGTGGGTCAAGGCGATGACGACGAGGGCGATTGTTTGCCTGGGATGGCATCGCGACGCCGACAGTCGGTGACGCCCCCGCCCCCCCACCGCACCTTCACGGAGTCCTGCTCCTCGTCGGACTGGTCGTAGAGGTCGTCGCCGAGGATGTTCCAGGCGGAGCGCGTCGACTGAGCCGCGTACATCTGCCAGCGCCAGAGCGAGAGCGGCGAGAACGTGACGTGCAGCGGCAGGCTGCGAAGCGAGCTGTTGATGGGGTAGAAGTCCTTCTGCAGGTTCCAGTAGTCGTTGAAGAAAACCACGGGGAAGTAATCGCCGCTCACCGCGTCGAACTTCACGTCTGGGGTGTGGGGGGACACGGGACGAGGCGGGGGACACGGGATGAGACGGGGGACACGGGACGAGACGGGGACACGAGGTGGGAGACGGAGACACGAGGTGGGGACACGAGGTGGGAGACAGGGACACGTGACAAGATGGGGACACGTGACAAGACGGGGGACATGAGGTGAGAGACGGGAACACGAGGTGGGAGGACGGGGATACGGGATAGAAGACGGACGTGGAACGAGATTAGGTTAAGCGAAGGGCACATGTGTCTCATGCTCCCATGTGTTACGTAACCACATGTCCTATGGTGTCACATATCCCTGCATGCCCACACAGGTCTCATATCTCCACTCGTCTCGTGTCCCGACTGATCTCCTGTCTCCTTCCCCCCATGTGCCTCCATGCCTCCCCGGCGTGTCCCCCAGTGTTGGCGTGCAGACGGCCGGTGCTGCTCACACTGGTCGAGCGGGGGTGGCACCGATCCCTTGACCCAGGACGTGTGGTCGTCCACGATGTTGATGGTGACGTTCGGGTGCCAGTGCGACAGGATCTCCACCGGCCCATAGTCCTCCGCTCGCTACGGTAGCAGCAACAGCAGCAAGTGGCAGTAGCAACAGGAGTAGCAGCAACAGCAGCAAAAGTAGTAGCAGCAACAGTATTAGCAGCAGCAGTAGTAGTAGCAGCAACAGCAGCAGTGGTAGCAGCAGTGACATCAGCAAGTCGTAGCAGCAACAGCAGCAACAGTAGTAGCAGCAACAGCAGCAGGACCAGCAGCAATAGTAGCAGCGAGAGCAGCAGTGGCGGTAGCAGCAGCAGCAACAACATAAGCAACGGCATAACCATCATCGTCATCATCACTATCGTCGCCATCGTCAACAACATCTCTCATCAGCAGTTTTAGCGGCACCACCATGAGCTGCAGCAGCAGCTGCAGTGGCGGCAGAATGATTCAACCCGGTCACCAATGACTGCACAAAAGAACCCATGAGGCTTGCTTGTGGTTCTGCACTAAGTTGGCTTGACTCCAGCTCTGCAGGGTCCGCACAGTGAGGGTGCCACTGCAGCTGCCCATTCACTATTTTAAAAGGGGGCAACACTCGGTGGTTGTGCAGCGCCGTGCCGAGCTGCCCGCGCCTCGCATCAAGAAGATGCTGGGTAGAGGCCGACCGAAATTCGGTTTGGTTTCAGCACCGAAAGTTGGCAAATGGCTCTTTCGGCATACTCTCGGTTTTCGGCGAAAGTTAATTTTTAACTTTCGGTCTGGTTCGGTTTCGGCCGAAACTGATATTGACTTTGGTCGTCATTCGTCAACCGAAGATCTATTTCTAGAATATAACGCTAGTGCTAAGTCTATCACTCTGCCTATCGGCCAGTCAGCCGGCGCTCAGCAATCCTAGGCGATAGGCTGCATACACACACACACGTCAGCAGCAGCAGCAGCTTGGGAGCGAGGTTACAACCGCAACCATGGTCTGCTAATGAATATACGACCGGTCAACAGACGGCAGCCTGCATCTCCATCCGTGGGTGGAGTCTCTTTGGCGGGACGACAACAAAGTGCCTCTGTTGTCTGTTCCCAGCCGCCTGCCCGCCTTGGCGTATGTGTTGCGTTCGCTTCAGTCTACACGCGTGTTGATGTGTTGCGTTCGCTTCAGTCTACACGAGTGTTGATGTGTTGCGTTCGCTTCAGGCTACACGCGTGTTGATGTGTTGCGTTCGCTTCAGTCTACACGCGTGTTGATGTGTTGCGTTCGCTTCAGTCTACACGCGTGTTGATACCGAGATTCGAAGTGTGACAATTAGAGGCCGACCGAAATTCGGTTTCGGCGCCGAAAGTTGGCAGATGGCCTCTTTTAGGCATAGCTTCTGTTTCGGCCGAAGCCAAAAAGTTAACTTTCGGTTTACTTTTGGTTTCGGACGAAAGTAAATTTGTAACTTTTGGTCTGGTTTCGTTTTTGGCCGAAACCAGAAATTCAGTTTCGGTCGGCCTCGAGCGCTGGGTTTGATTCCCGACTCGAGCGCCATTCTGCGTGAAGTCTGTATGCTCTACCCCAAGTTCTGCAGAGTGTGTGCAGTTTGTATGTCCTCTCTCTTCTCCGCAGAGTGTGTGAGTGCGAGCGATTGCATGCGAGAGGGTGTGAAGCAGCAACGTTACCCCCTAACTGGGCGGTGGTGGGGGTGGCTATCCACGTGGCCTGTAACCCAGCGCGCTGTGGAGCAGCAGCGAGGGTTGGTGTATCACACAGAGATGTTGCGAAACTCTCTTTCCGTGGGTGACGAAGAGGAAGAAGTCTTACACCGGCTTTGCCAGGAGAAGGCATTCCAGCAAAAAAATGGACTCCACCTGTTTCATCTGTGTGGGATAGAGTGTTCCCCCCTCGCATGCGTGGGTTGTCGCCGTATGCTCTGGTTTCCTCGCGCATGTAAACGCTCGTTAATTGGTGGATAACACCTTCATATATAGAGGACCGCAGAGCCTGAGCAATCGTTGGCACCGGCTCATCACGTGGCCGCCTTCCCCCCTCGCACCTCTAAGTCTTCAAGAGAGAGAGGGAGAGAAGAACCGTGCGGTGGCGGCAACGCAGCGCCACTAGCCGAAATCGGTATCATCGTCGCAAACACGCGGCAGGAACCTCCTGCACAGGGAGTCATGAGGCTCAGCGAGGCGTTGCTGGGCGAAGAGGAGGAGTGACGGTGAGGGCGGCGCGAGGGCCGGAGAGCGGTGCCCCCCACCTTGATCATCTCGGGGCTGGCCTCCGTCTCGCCCGTCAGCAGGTTCTTCGTCTTGAGGAAGCGACGCTTCTTGTACTTGTTCAGCACTGCGCACGCGACGTCACACGTGGTGTCGTCACACGTGGTGTCGTCACACGCGGCATCGTCACACACACCGTCGCACTGCACACGCTAAACACATGTCGTCACACACGGCGTCACACTGCACACGATAAACACATGCGGTCACACACGGCGTCACATTGCACACGCTAAACGCATACCGTCACACGATAACACACATGGCGTCACACACGGCGTCGCAATGCACACACTAAAGACATGGCGTCACACACGGCGTCACACTGCACACGCTAAACACATGGGGTCACACACGGCGTCACACTGCACACGATAACACACATGGGGTCACACACGGCGTCACAATGCACACACTAAAGACATGGGGTCACACACGTCATCACACACGGCGTCACATTCCACACGCTAAACATGCGGCATCACACACAGTGTCACAGCACACACAGCATCACAAATAGCGCACGCACACAGTGTGTCACACACAGCACATACAGCAAACACAGCGTCACATACTGTCACACACCTTACTGTGTCACACAGCATAATGCGTGACGCAGAGCAAACACTCTAGACTCAGCCGTAAATGAGTAACTGGTGCGATGTGTCAAATATGACCAATGGGGAGAGAAAGGGAGCTTGGGAGTGGTTCGGACCACCCACTCCTTCGTGTGCAGTGCGGGCCTTCATAGGTGTCCGCAAACAGCACTTGCCCCAAAAGTCTGTTCAGGCTACCCGGGGGATCTTTGTGTTTGTCTGTCTCGTACGTACTGCGGGAGATGTGCGTGGTGGCGAGGCGCCGGTACTCCTCCTTGCGCGCGGGGTCGGGGTGGTGACCGCTCTTGGTGAAGAAGATGTGGATGTAGAGGGAGCCGTTGTTCTGTACGTTCTGTACAGCGCACCCACCACCACGATCACAACTACCACCGCAACCACCACCAACACCACCACAATCACAACTACAACCACCACCATCGCGATCTATCACCACAACCACCACCACTGTGATCAAAACTACCACCACAACCACCACGATCACAGTATTACCACTATCACCACAACTACCAATACCACCACAATAAAAATATCACCAACTACCACCGATACCAAGTTCCGCTCTCACCATTAGCAGCAATACCATCACGCCCACCGCTATCACTGTGAACACCACAACCACCGTTCTCACTGCCGTCACCACAACCGCCGCTACCTCCACAACGTGAACGAGGGGGTGAGTGGGCGGGCGAGTGAGTGAGCGGATATGTGAGCGGGAGTGGGCGAGTATATGGGTGAGCAGGCGGGCGAGTGAAGGAGTGAGCGGGCGGGCAAGTGGACGGTTATGAGTGGGCGACCAAGCGAGCGAGCGGGCGGGCGGGCCGGCGAGCGCGGTGGTGAGAGCGTGCCTCCGAGATGTCGATCTCGTGGGAGCTGGAGAAGGAGCCGTCCCCGTTGGGCCCCGAGGCCCAGTCCCCATAGCCAAGGTCCAGCAACTCCCACACGAGCACCGAGCTGTCGTTAAACTGCGTGAACAGCTCCTGCTCCGACACGTACACGCGCATGTCCTGCACGCACGGAGGCACACGTCGCAACGTCACGCGGCCACCATCGCGCACACACACAGGTACATGCAGGTGTCCTGCACACACGAGCGTATTCAACACGCGCGCGCGTGGCAACATCACGCAATCACCATCATGCGCACGCACACGCGTGTCTAGCGTACAACACACACCGCTCCATCGGTTCGCTGTCGTCAGAGGGCGGAGAGTCAGTCGACCATTGTCTAGAGCAGTGGTTCTTAACTTTGGGTGCATTTAAGAAAACCAATGGGATACAGGCTGCAGTCAAGGTTAAGAACCACTGGTCTAGAGAGACACGGAGTCTGCCATCCATCCCGTCTGGAAAAAGGTGGGGGCGAGGCCATGACTGCACATAGGGGAGGGGGCACGTGGGAGGAGGGGGGGGGCTCTATGTGTGTGCGCGTGTCCGCACCATGAGTTGAGAGCACCGATACATTGGTTAGCGCACTGTGCTACGAACTCGTCGAGTCTATGTTCGATTCCCACTCGTGGTAAACATGGCGGTGGCGAATATCCGAATTGCTCCTGGACCTCCTCGAGGTTGACATCAGCCTTAAACAAGTCCCCGGTGCGGTGCGTAAATATCAGCACTGGGGAAGGCAAAGGCGGCCGGGCACGCACGCCACCCCCTCGCAGATGGGTGCGCTTTGCCCCGGCGGCGTGCGCGGGCTACCCGTGGAGACCCTTTGTCTGTGTGTGTCGCATACCATAAGCGTGTCCTTGGGAAAGAGGTTGCGGCTGGGCGGTCGCATCACAGCCGCCTCCCCAGGTGCAGCCCCCCTCCTGCGGCGCCGATCCCCGGCGGAACCAACTGCTGATCACCCAGATGATGAAGATTCTGACAGAGCGGCAGCAGCAACAGCAGCAACAGCAGCAGCATTGGTTACAAGATGTGCGCTCTGCATCAGATAGGTCACCGAGTATTCTTATTAAAAACACGTAATCACGCCGCACTCGTCGCCGTGGCTGCGCCTCAGCGCGTTCACAGCGCGGACGGGAGAGAGCGCGTGCCCGTGGGGCGACTGGGCGGGCAAGCTGACCACCCTGGCAGAGGCTGGGGGATCATGGGGTGGGGGGGAAGCAACAGTGGGGGGGGGGGGGGCACAGCTATGGAAAGGGAGGGCGATCCGCGAGGCCTACCGGAAGAGCACGCCCTTGATGACCTGCCACGCATTGGGCTGCTGCTGCGGTGGTGGCGGCTGCTGCTGGTTGTTGCTGTCGTTCGCCGCCGGTTCCACGGCGCCGTCGGCCTGGCCGTCCACCAGCGCGACCTGCGTGCGTTCACACGGCACCGGCTCGGTCTTAATCCTCCTCGTCGTCATCGTCAGCATCACCGTCGCCAGCATCGTCCACGCTCGCAGAACATGTCCAAGTCGGAGTGATTTCCCACTACTCAAATGAGCCACATCGAGGCGGTGATACTCATGTCCCGTTTACAGGCCTGCGGGGACAGTGATGGGAAATTACACATTCCTATGGCACGTGCGGGTATTTTTGTTACATTTTTTAACAACTTTGCTGAGCAAAGGTCCAAAAGCCCAAAACGTCAAGCAGCCGGCATGCTTTTGAAATTGAGCAAGGTTATTGTTGTTGTTATGAGAGCTTGTGGGAAAACAAGACGATGATGTGAGCAGTGCTAGGATAGAAGAAGGACGAGCAGCGAGGTGACCTGTAGTGTGGCTAGTGGGTGAGTGAATGAGCGAGTGGGTGAGCGAGCGAGCGGGTGAGCGAGCGGGCGGATGGGCGAGTTAGCTCGTGTCGAGCAAATTACCGAAGAAGTGAGCAAATTAGTGACCAAGTGAATGAGTGGGCAGATCAGAACTGCCTCACACGCGCACACACTAACATGCACATAAACACACAAACAAATATTCGGATTATAAGATGCACAAGGACATCTTTATTATATAGAGGGGGCAAAAGTGTGCCTCAAAATCCGGAGAAGGCGGTTTTGCCATGGCACCACCACTGGGTGTGCAACAGCGGTGTTGAAACGGTTCGAGCACTGCGCTTCGAGCCCAGCGATCCAAGTTCGATTCCCGGCCCTGTTCAGATGGCGGTACAACAACGGACTGGCCCCATCTGTGTGCAGCGTTCATGGTCACCCACTGTATGGGTCTTCTCCATACAAGACACCTGCCACGGTGGGGAAATCGTTCGCGGCACGCTGTGACTTTCAGCAATCGCCGGTTCGATTCCATCTCTCGGCGTGGCGGTGGAAACGATGGCACGGGTTAGTGAGCTTCTACCCCACCACCTCTGTCCGCCCAGCAGCGTGAACGGGTTTCACCGCGGTCAGTTCATCGTCCGGTTGCTTGTGGTAGGGTCAAGTTTTAGGTTACGCCCACCTCTTCCGACGTGCCTGGGTCAACGTGCAAGAGTAAGGCCAAATGCCCTCGACAGCCTGCTCTCGCGGAGAGCCTCTTCTGCCCGCAGTGGTGCGAGTAGAAATTGCAGGGCTGCACATTTGGCTGGCGTTCCCGCTCACGCGAGGCCAATCATCAAGAGCACAGAGCTTGAGCCAACGAAAATAACTCGACACCCACAGTTCCTCGAACACTCAACTCGCCGCACCGTACACGCGCAGTCACGCGCACGAGTAGATCCGGGGAGAGATAATGAGATCACGAAGACACCCACCCCCCATCCCAACCTCCACTCAAAGCGAGTGGCACATTCCGTAAAGGGGGACATCGCCGGTGCTAACGCAGGACTCGTTCCATCCTGTGCGGCAGTGGGGGCGGCGGTGGGGTGGCGGCGGGGCGGCGAGAGGAGTTCGACAGCTGCTGTTGCTGGGGTGTCTGGGTCTGGCCCGGCTCAGTCCGGCCCAGGAATGGACGTTCGCATAGGAACCAGAGAGAACCGCACCGCCACTCGGAGACGACCGCCGAGAACACGTCTCGCTCACCACAGCAGCATGCGCGCACGTACACGCGTACATCTGCATGCCGGGTGGCCTCCACTGACATCAAGTCGTCCGCTTCAAGGCAGGTCCCTTGGCTCGAGCTCTCTCCATCCTGTCCGCCCCCCCTCTCTCCCTTCGTGTCGTCGAGCAGCGTCCGTCATGCCGTGCGGGGAGGCCTACCTCTCAGTGTCTTTCCCAACATCCCAGAACAACGCTTCCGCCGGAAGTCTCGTCACCAAGCTCTGAACCGCTCAGAATGTGGCGGGTGTGCGCAAAGATTCGCGTCCCGTTCCTTTGCCATTCCGATGACGTACGCGCTCATGCTTACCAGATGCGTGCGTCACCGTTTTTTCTCCCGATTCCGTTCCGATGACGTGCGTGCGCATCATCAAAAAACAAAACCCGGAAGAAAAACTTAAATAGATCACTTTATCGGTACCGAGGTTCCCACAAAGGCCACGCGGCAGGGCGCGAGTGGCAGTGTTAGCGCCGGCTACCGTAGGGCGCGGCGGTCATGTCGCTACGGTTCTCTGCGGCGAGTGACGCTTGGGATGTCAACGATGCATTCGGGTCTACGTGCGTGTCAAACCATTGTACAAATAACCAATATCAACTATATATATAAAAAATCATTAATTACCATTACATTTAAACCCCACGTGCATTATTCTGTGGGGCTATTTCATGGAAAGCAGAGCACCGTGCGGAAAATCCAATATTGTACTGTACTCTGCTCCCACACTTATGCTCCCTGCTTCAGCAAAACTGCACTGACAAGAGTGATGCGTGGTCAAGGGACCACCACGGCCCGCACGGTGTGGCGAGGCCCTCATCCAGCAGCGGAGGGACTAAGGGCCATGCGGCGTGTACTGTTATTGTTATTCTGGTGATTGTCACTTTCTGCCCGAGGTTGCCTCATTCGTGGAACTGCCGAACAGTGACGCTCGCTGCCAACCTCTCCCTTGTCATCTCACTCCACTCCACTCTCTCCTACTTCTCCCTTGTCATCTCACTCCACTCCACGCTCTCCTACTTCTTCCTTCTCATCTCACTCCACTCCGCTCTCTCCTACTTCTTCCTTCTCATCTCACTCCACTCCACTCTCTCCTACTTCTTCCTTCTCATCTCACTCCACTCCACTCTCTCCTACTTCTCCCTTGTCATCTCACTCCACTCCACTCTCTCCTACTTCTTCCTTCTCATCTCACTCCACTCCGCTCTCTCCTACCTCTTCCTTCTCATCTCACTCCACTCCACTCTCTCCTACTTCTTCCTTCTCATCTCACTCCACTCCGCTCTCTCCTACTTCTTCCTTCTCATCTCACTCCACTCCACTCTCTCCTACTTCTTCCTTCTCATCTCACTCCACTCCACTCTCTCCTACTTCTTCCTTCTCATCTCACTCCACTCCGCTCATTGCACTCTCCTACCTCTCCCCTCCCATCTCACGACTCCCCTCCACGCACTCTCTTACCTCTCCTCATCTCAATTTACTCCCCTCTACACACTTTCCTACGTCTCCCCTCTCATCTCACTATTTCCCCTCCGACACCCTCTCCAACCTCTCCCCTCTCATCTCACTCTACTTCACTAAACCCCACACTCTCTGCTCCACAAACCAAGGCTTTCTCTGTCGAATCCCCCTGTCAACCTTCGCTCAGTGGGACATCACCGATTCTACTCCGCTACCCCCAGGGTCTGGAACTCCTTTCCCCCAGCCAGTCCGTGCCGATGGCTCCCTGGCCCTGCTCAAGTCCAGGCTCAAGACCTTCCACCGCCTCTCTCTGCCTGTAAAATAAACGTACCCCCACTCCCCACCCCCCCCCCCCCCCGTTTCTGCACAGCGCCTTGAAACGCAGCCGTATTCCGACGCTCCATCAATCCCCAATGCAAATTGTGACGTACGACGGGCGCTCAGCGCAGCTGTAACCGTGGGCGTGATCCCTGCGGGAGTGTGGGTGTTCTATTTTCAGCTCTCTCATTTTCTGAGCCACAGGTGGCATGGATATATATGTTTTAACACAGTTGCTGAGCACAGGCCCAAAGGGTCAACATGTCGCGAGACCAGCGACTAACTGCGCTATCAAAGTTGTAGTCTATAACACGCGTTTTTCTTTTTATTGAACGAGGTCGTCATTATTATTATAAGGATTTGGAAAAGAGACAATGGGAGGGTATGAAGACACGGAAGCGCGTATCCATGAACAACCGCCCTCTTTATCCAATCGGATTCACACGACAGAGCGAGTGGGAACCGTGGAGGACACGTTAACGCAACCTTTACTTGTGCCCGCTCACCATCGCCAGCAGGATCAGCTACACAACATCGCCTGCTGCCCTGTGCACACCAAGCCGCCTCTGCTTTCGGTCATCCAACGGATCTCCCTACGCTGGTCACCCCGCACGGCAGCAGGAGCACCACTCAACCTCCTCCTCCTCTTTACGTCGAGGGCCAGGAGCATGGTCACTGCTGGGCGTCGTTTCTCCGTCTGGAACGCGGCCATCATCATCGCCACCACCGTAATCATCGTTGTCGTCCCGCTGCTGCTGCTGCTGCTGCGCATTCAGAGCAGCAGCAGCAAAGTTCAATCCGCACCGACTTCTTAAGAGACACTGAAAAGGCCTCACCCTCTCTCGCCTGGCTTTCAAGCGACGCCGAGCTCAGCTCCGTATCTTTTGCCTATCTTTTACATCTGTGAAATACCGTGAACGTTACGACTTGCATTATTGATATCTCTTGCAATTACAGTAAGTGCATACGACATGTGCAGTACGAGCATTTTTTTTATTAAAACATTCTAAACATTAAAAAAAAGAATCTACAAGCTTTTGTCAGTTCATTTTTGGATAAAGCACTCCCAATGCCATGTTGGTCATGGAATTGGGAGCACAGAAGTACGGTACAACAAATCTTGTTACACCGGCATCTGCTGTCCGATATGTCCCACCACAAGCCCTATGGTCAACGCCTGCTGAAGCACTGTTATCCAGGCTCAACCTGCTTAGCCTCTGAGCTCTGATGTGATCAGGCGCGTTCTAGGTCATTTGGTCATAATCCGATGGAGCTGAACTCCTTAAGAAAACATCTACAGCCTCCTTGATCGATCTACTGCTGGACTAAAGGCCTTCCCGTGGCGTGTGGTTATGGTGGTGGTTACGAGGATGAATATAAACTATGAGACTATAAACTATTTTTATTTTTTTCCAGGTAAGGCCCACTATTCAGCTACGTAGCTCTTTTTCAGAAGCGACCTGTCTTTTCACATATTCTAAACGCACGTTTATGAATGTGGAGGGAAAAACCAGAGGACCCGGAGTAAAATCCACACGACCATTGGGTGAGAGAGACATGCAAACTTCAAATAC